AAATGTCTAAAGCAGTACGTGCACTACTTTTGGTGTGATGTGCATAGATATCTGTGTCAGATGTCTTTCAAATCGCACCTGAAATCAGCATGTCCGCCGACTTTGAAATCATGAGACTTCACTGCAAGTCGCACAATTTCAATTTCAAAGTCTGGATCGGTGTGACGGGGGGGGGGGGGAAGATAAAACAGGATTCTCTGCATTATTAAACCTGAAATCAAAGTGGAGAAATCATGACAGACGGGCGGACTGACCATTTGGAAACTCGGGCACTGCCCGAGGGCCCAGGGTCAGTAGGGGGCCCCATGAGTTGTCCCTGGTACCTTTTTCATAGGCTTTTTTGAGTTCGGGCAAGAACACAGGGGCCCCATGATCCCCTATTGCCCAGGGGCCCCATGAGTTGTCAGTCTGCCCCTGGTGTCAGATGACATGTGAGGAACATTGTCAGCAATTGGACTTCCACTCCATGTTTTGATTGTTAAAAAAAAGCAAAAATTTCACTACTTGTAGCTATTTCGTATATTTTTCATTTGAAATTTTTTTTTTTTTTTTAATAAATAAATTTGGTAAGATTCTTATCATTTTATCCCAGCTGTTCTGTCCCATTCTATCCATATGTAAAGTAAAACCAAAGCTAGTGACATCTTTTGAAGCCATTCTGGTACCTAATAGGTCAGATATATGTCAGATGTCTTTCAATTTGCACTGGAAATCGGCATGTTCCCGACTTTGAAATCGTGTGACTTCACTGTAAGTCGCACGATTTCAAAGTCGGGCTTGATGTGACCGGGGGGGAGCAGTAAAAGTGAAAATATGATTAATTTTAGGGTATGGATAGTGCCACTAGAAGCACCTAATTAAACAAATGATCTGTGTATAAAAGAGCAGCTAAAACCTCACCCTCAAAACAAAGTAAAAAGTGACAAAATAGAAAAAAGGTAGCGCTCTAACCAGGGGCGGACTGACAACTCATGGGGCCCCCAGGCAATAGGGGATCATGGGGCCCCTGTGTCCTTGCCCACACTCAAAAAAAGCCTATAAAAAGGTACCAGGAGCATTTCAGGGGGCCCCCTACTGTCCCCGGGCTATCGGGCAGTGCCCGAGTGCTTGAAAGGTCAGTCCACCCCTGGCTCTAACCAGATAATCAATAATAACAAAAATCAATCATCAAAACGTGAATAAAAAAATACGCTAAGTGCAAAAAAAAAAAAAAAGAGTAAAAAATATCAAAATCCAAAAAATATATCATCTTAAGTGCAAACAAATGTGATAAAACTTATTTCATCAAACAAATAAAGTGTCCAACTTCATCATAAAGAAATATATATATTCTGAAAAATCAATAATCCAAACATAAAAAAAATTGTGTCAAATTATAAACCAGCACCATCATTTGACCAGCATGTTGCATGTCACTCCTGCCCATACGGACGCACATGCTCTGGTGAGTTTATTTAATTTATCTGGTGGTGGATTCTTCTCACAGTGTTTTGGGTTCATTTCAACAGTTAAAAGTTTGGAGCGCTGAAAATTTAAGAAAACACATATTTTTCACCAACAATTTGCACATTTTATTTGGTTGATGTCAAAAGCTTTTTTATTCACATATTTTTTCTGCACTTAAGGACACTATTATTGGACACATTTTTTTTTTTCTGTTTGGATTTTGATTTTTCGGAATATATATATTTCCTTATGATGAAGTTGGACACTTTATTTGTTTGATGAAATAAGTTTTAACACATTTGTTTGCACATAAGATGATATATTTTTTGGATTTTTATATTTTCTACTTTTTTTCTTTTGCATTTAACGTATTTTTTTATTCACGTTTTGATGATTGATTTTTGTTATTATTGATTATCTGGTTAGAGCGTTGGCTTTTTTCTATTTTGTCAAAAGTGAAAATATGACTGTTCAAATCCAATCTGACTAGTCCAGTAAGGGGATCGATTTTGAAGCCACGTTCGCAATGATGAGCTCGCGCTGTGCAGTTTCCATTGCGATAACAACCGCATTACCTCACCAGGTCCAGTCACAAGAGGTTAAAGCATATCTTATTCCATTGTCCATGACTTACACATGTGCTATGAAAGCCAGAGCCATAGTTTGGCAGCTTCATGAACCGTCCTCTTTCACTGCTGTCCTTAATGTGTGAGTTTTGTAAAGCTGCCAGAACATTTTGACTAGGATGTTTAAGCCCACAAAGAATTTTCAGTAAAAAACAGGAAACAAGGCATCGATTACCCTGGTGTCAACTCCTCAACAAGGCCACATTTCAACATCGCATTTGTAATTTCCTGCCTGTCATTGGCAGGGGGGCACTTTAAAAGCTAATGGAGGGACGGTGTGTACGGAATGTTATGTAACTCTTCTCTTCCTGAGTATGGAGACAGACAGGGGTGCCGTGTACTGGAACCAACCATTACCAAACTGTTGTGTCTGTGACAAAGAGATAGACGTGACAAGGAGCCATTAATCTTCCATTATAAAGATTGTGCCACTCTGCTTAGAAATAACGGCCTTTGTTTCTCTACATTCTGTTGGGTTTTTTTTGGCACAAAACAACTAGTTATACTCTGCTCTTTGTATAGACATATGTATGCATAGCCAGGACTGCTGTTAGAAACCACAGCCAACCTGACAGGGCCCCCCAAACCATGGGGCCCCATACAGCAGACCTAACAGGGCTTCCCCCATCCCCACAAAAAACACAGTTTATTATGCTTCAGTTATGAATGAACACAGTGAGTGATCAGTACCGAGTTCATTCAGGAAAGGAAGGGGCTGGTAAATTACTGGAACCCATCCCCTGTATGTCTTTCTGCAGCAGAAAAAAGCCAGTTTAGGGGGTAAAAGGAGAAGAAGCCAGCTTTCAGCTGCTGCAGAGAGCCACACAGATTATTATTATTATTATTATGATTGGTTCCAGTAATTTCCCCCCCCCACCCTCCCTGCCCACACCTGATTCACCCAGCTGCCTCGGCTCCCCTGCTGGCCTGGGTACCGTACAGGAGGACTGGTGGTACCCCCTTATCCACGGCCTTGGTGACAGTTTCAATCCTAGATTGTAAGCTCCCAGGATTAGGCCCCCCTATCCCTCTTGTATTGAACTGTATTGTTGCTGTATTGTCTCCCTTTATAATGTAAAGCGCTGAGCAAACTGTTGGCGCTATATAAATCCTGTATAATAATAATAATATTGTGTTAAAAAGAGAAAAACAAAAGAATGTTATCTTATCCACGATCCTGTGCATAGCTCCCTACTGTCCCGATTTGGGAGGGACCGTCTTTCTTTTGAGACAAAATCCCTCTGGCCACCATGCAGCCTCAGCTGTCCCTCTTTATGATCTGATACATACGGTACATCTCTATTCAAAATAGACTATATTACTACCAAAAGTGTTAGGCTGCTTTCACACTGATCCGTTGCGGGTCAGCTGCGTTTTTTTAAAATCCTGCTTGCTACATTTTTGGTGCTGTAAAAAAAAAAAGCACCTCCACACTGAAATAAGTGGAAAATGCATCAAAGACGCACCCACGTTGCATTCTTGGTGCATTTTTGAGTCATGTGTCCTTTAAAAAACACACTTCAAACATGGTAAAATGTATGTGCATTTTTGCTACGGATCAGTGAGAAAGTAGCCTTATGCTGCACTAAACTTTTTATCCAACCTCTACACTTACCGGCCACTTTATTAGGTACACCTGTTCAATTGCTTGGTAACACAAATGGCTAATCAGCCAGTCACATGGCAGCAACTCATGGTAGGTTGAGGTGATAACACATGGGTTGATGTAGTTAGGTTGAACACACATGATTTGATGTGGATGGGTTGAACACACACGGGTGATATAGTTGGGTTGAACACACACGTGTGATGTAGTTAGGTTGAACACACACGGGGTGATGTAGTTGGGTTGAACACACACGGGTGTTGTAGTTGGGTTGAACACACACGGGTGTTGTAGTTGGGTTGAACACACACGGGTGTGTGTTGGGTTGAACACACACGGGTGATGTAGTTGGGTTGAACACATATCTATATCAAGCTGAGAGTATGTTCTTTTCTATTATTTTCTGTTCTATTCTACTTTTTTAATTATTATTATTAGCTTGATGTAACTGGGTTGTACACACATGAGTTTATGTGGTTGGGTTGAACACACATGACTTGATGTGGTTGGGTTGAACACACACGGGTGATGTAGTTGGGTTGAACACACATGACTTGATGTGGTTGGGTTGAACACACACGGGTGATGTAGTTGGGTTGAACACACATGACTTGATGTGGTTGGGTTGAACACACACAGGTGATGTAGTTGGGTTGAACACACATGACTTGATGTGGTTGGGTTGAACACACACGGATGATGTAGTTGGGTTGAACACACACGGATGATGTAGTTGGGTTGAACACACACGGGTGTTGTAGTTGGGTTGAACACACACGGGTGTTGTAGTTGGGTTGAACACACACGGGTGATGTAGTTGGGTTGAACACATATCTATATCAAGCTGAGAGTATGTTCTTTTCTATTATTTTCTGTTCTATTCTACTTTTTTAATTATTATTATTATTATTATTATACAGGATGTATATAGTGCCAACAGTTTATAACAGTGTATAAAAATTGTTATTTCTGCCCCCAACCCCGGAAATACAAAATCACGTATATATATATAGAGATATATATATATATATATATATATACACACACACACGTGATTTTGCGCAGCCCTGCCGCCCTGTAGCAGTATTTGTGCGGGGAAGCTGTAATAATATATTAACCAGGGGCGGACTGACCATTTGGAAACTCAGGCAGTGCCCGGGGTCAGTAGGGGACCCCATGAGATGCCCCTGGTACCTTTTTCATTGTCTTTTTTTGAGTTTGGGCAAGGACACAGGGGCCCCATGATCCCCTATTGCTCGGGGGCCCCCATGAGTTGTCAGTCCGCCCCTGATATTAACGCAGCTGCAAGAAAAGCTTCATAGTAATGCTGCATCAGGGAGGTTCTGTCACGAAGCTTTCCATTTCCTAGCAATGTCTGGATGTAGGATCACGCTCCAACCGTGGGACGAAGTGGACGAAGGTAGTAGGCCTCCTCGCTCGCTCCAACCGTGGACGAAGGTAGTAGGCCTCGCTCCAACCGTGGACGAAGGTAGTAGGCCTCGCTCCAACCGTGGACGAAGGTAGTAGGCCTCGCTCCAACCGTGGACGAAGGTAGTAGGCCTCGCTCCAACCGTGGACGAAGGTAGTAGGCCTCCCTCCAACCGTGGATGAAGGTAGTAGGCCTCGGCTCCATGTTTGTGTTTCGGCACACATAGGGGAAGGGTGGAATCTCTCTGTGGATCTTCACTAATTGCCTTTGCATGGATGACGAAAACAGCTCATTAAAATGTAAACAAAATCTGCTCATCAGTGATTGCCAGACCAGCCTGCTGATTAGAACCAGCTCTGTGTCCCAGCCTATTATTAGGCCCCAGAGTAAACAAACACCATTAATTGCTAAAGAGAGACAGTAGCAAAGCACAAGCCTTAACCTCTACTGTGCTGCACATTCCTGAAAACAAAATGCAACGTGCCTGGTCTTCAGGTAGGCTCCATGCACACTAGCATTTTTTTTTTTTAAGCTCCTGGAAGCTGTTATTAGCATTTTTGTTTTTGCTTCTAAAAGCTAAATTGCATTCTCCTATGTGTCCTGCACACTACTTTAGGCTGTTAGTAATTTTGAGCTTCAGCATCTAGGAGCAGGAAAAAAAAAATTGTTTTTGTAGTTTTCTGCGTTTTTCCAGGAGAAAAAAATGCTAAATGCTCCTAAATGCTACTAAAATACTCCTAACGGCTTTTTTCTAGCTTTTTTTCCCCTCTACAACAGTGGTCTCCTAACTGCAGCCTGGGGGCCAGATGCGGCCCTTTGCTTGCTTTTATATGGCCCTTGGGGCGCTATTTCATATACTGATACCAACAACTGGGTATAATTCCCCCCACTTACACCAGTGAAGGGGCCACAACTCCTTCCAATGACATCAATGATGGGGCACAATTCCTCCTAGTGACACCATTGATAGGGTTCAATGACATCAAGGATGGGGCACAATTCCTCCCAGTAACACCATTGATAGGGTTCAATGACATCAAGGATGGGGCACAATTCCTCGCAGTGACACCACTGATAGGGTTCAAAGACATCAAGGATGGGGCACAATTCCTAGTGACACCATTGATACGGTTCAATAACATCAAAGATGGGGCATAATTCCTCCTTGTGACACCATTGATAGGTTTCAATAACATCAAGGAAGGGGCAGAATTCCTCCTAGTGAAACCACTCATAGGGTTCAGTGACATCAAGCATGGGGCACAATTCCTCCTAGTGACACCACTGATAGGGTTCAATGACATCAATGATGGGGCACAATTCCTCCTAGTGACACCATTGATAGGGTTCAATGACATCAAGGATGGGGCACAATTCCTCCTAGTGACACAAATGATAGGGTCCAATGAAGTCAACGATGGGGCACAATTCCTCCCAGTGACACCATTGATAGGGTTCAATGGCATCAGCGATGGGGCACAAATTCCTCCCAGTGACACCAACGAAGGGACCACAACTCCTTCCAGTGACATCAACGATGGGGCACAATTCCTCCCAGTGACTCCATTGATAGGGTTCAATGACACCAAAGATGGGGAACAATTCCTCCCAGTGACACCATTGATAGTGTTCAATGACATCAATGATGGGGCAGAATTCCCCCACTGACACCTAATAATGGGGCATTTTTTCCTTCCCACCGACGTCAGAACCTTTTCTACTCCCACTGGCTGCAGTCCGGCCCTTGGAAAGGCTGAAGGACAGTAAACTGTTTGCTTACAAACGCCTCTGAACGCTAATAAAACTCTATTACCAGCAGTTTTTGAGCTTAAGAAAACACTAGTGTGCTTGGAGCCTCAACCAGAAAACTGGACAAATGAACTAAACAAAGAGGAAGCCATTGCTGAGCTCACCTCTGAAGATGCCGGTTGCCTGGCTGTCACGACTTTTAAGTTGCGAAACAAGCTTTTAAGTTCCGGTTTCCTCCCACACTCCAAAGACATTAGCTAATAGGCTCCTGTCTAAATTGGCCCTAGTATGTGTATGTATGAATGTGAGTTAGGGCAGATTGTACGCCCCTTGAGGGTTAGGGACTGATGTGAATGTACAATATAAATGGTGACGGCGCTACCTGAAAAAAAAATATAATAATATGGATCAGGAAAAAGAAAGGTCCTGCACACTTGGTCCCGGTTTCCACAAACCCCACAGGCAACTCCACCTACCTGCTGTTGGCTGTCTTCTCCAGCATGCACAGCTCAGCAGATATCGCCTGCGCAGTGCCCAGTGAACAATGAGGAGGGCCGACCAGAAGTATGCTGGGGCCATGACGGACAGGGGCAGTTGAAGGAAAGGTAAGGAGCTCCCTTTAACAAGATTGTACGCCCCTTGAGGGAATTACTTTTAGGCCACAAACTTCATGATGCTTGGGAAAGGCTGCCTCTAACCCAGTGTTTCTCAATTATATCATGTAGTGCTGCAGGATTACATTATTTTGACGGCGCTGATTTGATCAGTACTGCCTAGTAATTACCAATGTTTCATGGAAATCAGGAAAAATGAATGAGGACTGCAGTCCTGCTCTAACACTTGGTCCAGGTAGTTCCACAAACTTACGAGCATAGATGGGCGAAAAGCGATTTTTCGGCAATAATAAAATCACACCTCGTTACCTGGGCGATTTTGGCTGGTATTTTGGCCGTTTTTTTTTTTTCTCCAGCATGCATCGGCTCAGCAGTGGGCATATCGGCCGCCAGCGCAATCTGCCCAGTGAACAATGAGGAAGGGCAAAAAGAAGAAACAGAAGAGAAGCTGGGGCCAGTGACGGACAGGGGCAGAGGTTGAGGAAAAGGTATGCTGAGATGAGGATGAAGAAGAAGAAGAAGAGGATGAGGATGACTTTATGAAGAAGAAGAAGATGATGATGATGAAGAAGAAGAGGATGAGGGTTGAAGTAAGAGGATGAGGATGAAGAAGAAGAAGAGGGATGAGGAGGATTGAGGATGATGATCAGGGAGGATGAACTTTTAGCAGAGGACAATGATGAAGAAGAAGAGGATTCATGATCAGAAGAAGAGGATTGATGATTGGGATGATGAACAGAATAGCCTCTAGGATGCCCAGTGATGAGGATTGAAGAAGAGGATCAATTCCAGTCATCAGAAGAAGACCCCCAGAAGAGGATGAGGATGTTTTGAGGATGAAGAAGAGGATGAGGATTTGAGGATTGAGGATGAGGATGAAGAAGAAGAAGAAGAGGATGAGGACGTGGATGAAGAAGGAAGAAGTAGGATGAAAATAAGAAGAATTCAGTTTCCAGCTGTCTTAGAGCTAATTTCTGACACCTGACAGCTTGACATTTACATCTGAAACATTGTATCTATTTGTTTCCGAATAAAAACATATCCTAAATGGAAACAAATAGATACATTGTTGCAACTTCTATAAATGTCAAGGAACTGGGAACTGTCAATGAAATAGCAGACTCAGTTGCAGACACTTTTTGCCGGCTCTAGACCTAGAAAATTCCGATTTTTTTTTACCCGGCCACTTGAACAACCGATTTTTCGTTTTTTAAAAGAAAAATACCCAACTACATTAGGCTTCTTTCACATTTTTGGTAATACTTACTGCCCTCTGAAAAGCGATCAGCGGTGGATCACTTTTCAGAGGGCAGTATAGCAGTGGCTCCCACACAGTGACAGATCTGACACAACACACCACCACCAACACTGACACAGATCAGCAGCCACTAGAAGAGCAGGGTTTGGGATCGTGATGGTGTCATCACTCACTGACACGTGATGGATGGCCAGCCGGGTCACACTCACACAGACACGAGACATCAGAGTCAGACATTACCTTCCTCTGCAGGCACAGCTCCTCCTCTGCTGATAAATGGGAAGAGAAGAGCTGGAACTCCACAGCGATCAGCAGCCGCCAGCCGGCTTGCAGTAAGGGACTGAGTCTGAGAGGAACACTGGAAGGAGCCCCAGACAACCAGTATCTTTCTTTGTCCTTTCTTCCTCCCCTCTCTGCTGCCCCTCCTCACAGTTGAAGGATCATTCATGACATGGCGGCGTCCCATACAGAGAGAGTGCCTGCCTGTGCTGTACCCAAGTGCCCCTGGGTGGCAGCGTGCCCTAGGCCGCCACTTAGTTTGCCTAGTGGAAGCACCGGCCCTGGGCATACCTCCTGCAGCATGCAAGAGTTTGGGTGTGCTTTCAGAAAGCGTACCAAAACCGCAGGACCTAATAGAAATCTATGGGAAGGTGCACTGCACTGCCCCCCCCCCCCCCCCCCGAGGTGCAGTCAAACTGACAGCAGGGTAACCCATAAAAAAGCCCCAACACCATCCAAGGAGCAGGGCCCTCCTATCCCTCTTGTATTGAACTGTATTGTTGCTGTATTGTTTCCCTTTATATTGTAAAGCGCTGAGCAAACTGTTGGCGCCAGGGGCGGACTGACCATTTGGAAACTTGGGCACTGCCCGAGGGCCCGGGGTCAGTAGGGGGCCCCATGAGATGCCCCTGGTACCATTTTCATAGGCTTTTTCAAGTTTGGGCAAGGACACAGGGGCCCCATGATCCCCTATTGCCCGGGGGCCCCATGAGTTATCAGTCCGCCCCTGATTGTCTCCCTTTATATTGTAAAGCGCTGAACAAAACTGTTGGCGCTATATAAATCCTGTATAATAATAATTACCCCTATTCTACATATCAGTCTTTTTTAGGACATAAATAATTGTTTGAGATGAGCCCCAAGATCATATCCAATCTTTACTTCATTTTCCAGCTGCTGAAAAATGATAGTTGAAAGGTGGTACAAAATTCCATCTACAAAGCAATATTACAAGTTTAGTCTGTGAAGCACAACTAAAAATATGTAAAAAAAAAAAAAAGAAAAGAAAAAAAAAAAAAAAGACGAATTGTCCTCGTGCCGGGAAACAG